TATCCTTGAGCTGAAGAGCTGAGGGACAGCGCCCAGGCCCAGAGTTCAGGCCCCACGACCGGCAAAAAAAAAAAAAATAGTCAATCCGACAGACAGACCCACAGTACTACCAAAAAAGCATCCCTATTTAGTAGTAAAGAATACAAAACATTGAACTGACATGTTGAATTGAAACCCCTTTAAACAACTACTGATGATAATATTATTATATAAGAAAGAATGCAAAACGAATGTCCCTTCTGATGGTGGGGAAAGAATTCAGAACTTGGCAGTCCAGAGTTCTTCACTCCCTCCCTTTCTTCCCTTAGAATTCCACCTGACATCAAGTCCTTGAGATTGTCCTCAGATTGCACTTTTCTCCCCCATTCCCTGCACCTTTACCTTCCTCTGGGCTCTCCTTATGCTGTCCTCGGATGTCTTCAGATCCTCACACTTGGGTGCGGGGAGAGCAATGCTATCCAGATCATCCTGGAGCCTCCCCACGTCTCATCCTATTTCCTCTTTCATGTGAATTCCTCTACTTACTTTGAGTCCCAGGGAGCCTGGCTCTGGCCTCAGGGCCTCTGTTCTTATGGCTTTCCCTGCTTAGAAAGGCCTCCACTCTCCTGTGCTTGTACAAAGCAGGACACTCACTGCTTCTCAGCCTCCTTCAGTGTGGCTTTCATATGGAAATGCCAAGACTGCTTTTCCAACAAGCTCCCAGGTGATCATGAGGTAGGTGCTGGTCTATAGACCCCACTTTCCATGAGCATCAATGCTCAGTGAGGGGAAAAGACAGGGAGAGAGGACAGATTTTGGAGACAAACAGATTTGGATTTGCACATCATTTTTATCAGGTGCTTGTTGTATGACCTACGGCAAACCGTGGGAAGTATTACCTATTTTACATAAATGATGTGAGGACCTCTTCAGGTTTTTATAGAACTTTTCAAATCTCATTTTCTCTTAGTTCCCCCAAACTTGCCATTTTTGTCCTTTTCTCCCATAAGTCAGTCATCTTATTTCACCTTACTGAGTCTTGTTGCTTCAATCATGTGGATGCACACTACATATGTAAGTTAAACTCTATGATCTTGGGGAGCACATCATATCTTATTCTTTCAGCCTGTAAGTTTAAACAAAAAGTATTCTTCATTTTTTTTCTCTTCATATATTCTTAGTAGTGACTGTAGCATAATGCTCAAAGACAGTTGTGACCTGGCTTGGCCAGAAATCCAAGGCTGGTACCATCTTTAGCCAGTTGCATCCTCTGCCCAATCCAGACTACTGCATCTGGTTCTCAGTTTCCTCACCTATAACATAGGATTTCTGCTTTCACCTCTAGTTAAGTGTGGCTTATATAGCAGATTTTGAAAATGGCTAGAGTTCTTGGCTGCTCTCTGAATCCATGACATTCTCTAACGCTTTTAAAATAGACTGGAGGAGTGAGTTGAGTTTAGGCCTCAAAGGCCTCTTTTCTACTCTCCCTCTTGGAACCATGTCCAGCCAACAGGTGGCCAGGCCTGGGCTAATGGGTGAATGATGAGACTGAGACTGTTCCCTAGTACTCAGCCAAAACCGAGGCAGAGCCACACTGGTGACCACAGAAACAAGAGGGAGCCTGTAGGGGGCAGTAGACTCACTCAGCTAGGCCCCGCCCAAATTACCACAGAATCAATCATAAACTAAGTAGTGCTTGTGTTACGTTCGTGATACTTTGTTGCAAAGCAATAGATCACTAATAGTGTATACTTGAGAAAATTTCTCAACAAACAGTGGCTATTTGGGGGGAGAAGATACTTAATTAAAAATCAATTTTAGGCCAGATGAGGTGGCTCATGCCAGAGATGGAGCTTACAGTTTTGGGAGGATTAGAATTTTGAGGCCAGTCCAAGCAAAAAGGTAAAGTGACATAACAACAGGCCTTATTTTGGCCAGCTTGGAAATAAAAGGCTGTTTTAGTTTTAATCAAAAGTCAGGATATTTTTACTTCCAGGGAAATTGAAGGTACTTCAGAGAAGGCAAGGTAACAGTTCATCTTGACATATATATATATATATATATATATATATATATATATATATATATACACACACACACATATATTTGAGTATATATGAGCCTATATAAAGCAACAATAGGCTGTTGAAAATAGAGCATAACTGGCTCATTCTTTCATCAAAACCTTTTTTGTGTGTGATGGAAACAATCTTTGTGGGGACCCAGCGTCACCGCATCGCAAAATGTAGCTTATGTTTCTCTACCTGGAAAAAAGTTATATTTTGAAATGACTTGAATATTAACAACAAAGATCAGTGACACCCTTATAGGTAAAATTGTAAAAGAGAAACAACCCACACTGTTTCCTTAAATATCTTCTGTATTGGATTCATGTTTTCCTCTTTTCTCATGGATTTTTGCAACCACTGCCTTCTACCTTGTTTGAATGTTCTCTCTTCCTGTTCATCTCAGTGCATCCAGAATGAACTTTCTAGAATAAAGATTTGCTTTGCTTGAAACCCTTCAAAGTCTTCTCCCAAGTGTACGATCTGTGAGGATAGAGACTATGTCCCAGCACCTTACTGATGGCCTGGTATCTTTGGGCCAACAGACAAGCTGTTTCCCAGGCCAGGAGAACTCTTTATGTACCCAGTAGAAGAGTATTGATTACTGGGGTAAAATCTGAGGTATGATATTCCTTTTATCTTATATTAATAATATGTACCACAACTCTTATCTGCTTCATAATAGTCACCAGCTTGGTTTTCGGGTATGTTTTAACAGAGGGTCATTTTTATTAGTATATAAATTATACAAAAGAATGGGTTTCTTGTGACATGCATATGACATACTCCCATCATATTCACTGCTCATTACCCAGTCTTCTCTCCAGTTCTCCTTTCTCCCAAAATGGTCCTTCTTCCTTTGTATGTTTTATTATTATTATTAAAACATCTGGATAGAATCGGATGATTTTTGATTGTCTACATTACGAAAAAATTCCAAGCTGTGGAGATCACAATATTTACAGATAACAGGATCAGAATAGATGAAAGATTTATTATCTTCAATAGTATTTAGGGGATAACCAGAACAAGTAAAACTCGCAGCCTCAGCCCTGCCAGCGGTCATGGGCCGCACGTGGCCCTGCCTGGGGCCGAACCTCCCCTGCACACGTAACCCTTTGCCTGCGCGTCCAGGGGTATGGGAGGTAGGAAAGCCCAAAGAACAGGCACTAGAAAGATTACACCTGGATGACTTGTCTGATCTAAATACACACCAGAGGTAAGGGCTAGACCAATCCTATTCTCCTCTAGGATGGGCCAAGAAGTTTCCAACTCTTCTAGATATGTTGATTTTTTTTTTTTTTACCTGCAACCAGTTAATCTAACCATCAAAATGAAAACAAAAAAGACAAGCAAGAGGAAGGGGCTGTTAACCAAGACCCCCCAAAGAACTCTAGATTGAGGATTATAAGAAGCGTTCTGTAGCTTGAATTTGAAACTCAATCCAAACAGAGGAGCCCAGATCCGGAGAGGTTGGTAGTCAGTCATTGGAAGGTGGAGTCCTTTCCAAGAAGCACAGCCAATGGGCTCCTGGGGGCGGGGCGAATCGACCACTGGCTCGGCTCTGTCCTTGGGCTGGGACTTCATTTTGTCCAGAGCCTAGCCAGGTAGAGTTGAGGGAGCTGAGGGAGCCGAGAGAGCTGCTGGATGGAAGTCAGGAAAGTATTCCATTTTTAGGATAATGGAACATGTTTCATTGACCCGCAAGTTTTTGTTTTAAATTCCATATATGCAAAAAGATGAGTATCCTTTGAGATGGAGAGGCTTTAATGTGGGCCCCCCCTCTTAATTTAGTATTAACTGGGAGATTAAATGAGAGAACGAAACAGCACAGAATCCACCATCTTTAAAAGCAGTTCAGGTGCCCAATATTTCTCTACTACTTTTCTCTAGTGATAATTTCTCACAATAGCTATGTTACAACCACCCAGGACATCCACACTAAGAACCAGAAGGCAAGAAATCAACACCCTTTCTGCCACGATTTGAGCCACTTCATGGAACATCGACCACATTCACTGCGCACATCTCTGTAGCACGATGGAAACGGAAACGTTGGAAGTCCTCTACCAGGGCTATTTAATTTTATTTCCTCTTAGAGGTTAAGGACGGTGGAGACCCATTGATTTCTGCCTCCGATAACTAGAAAAACTCTTCCGGTGTGGTTTTGTGAAAGCTCCACCTAGCCGGGGCCCCAAGGTCACGCAGACGGGAGTGATCGACCTGGGACATCTTGCCTCATTATTAAATATGTAGCACCTTGTCACCATTTAACTGTTTGCACCTGCCACGCGCTTTGCGCTACTAGGTGCTGCCCGGTGGCTTCGTAAGCTCTGTCCATCGACCACCCACCCTGGTCTACTACGCAGGATGTCAGCACCCCAAGTCTTGGGACCCAAGGACTTATCCAAGAAACTGTGAAGGCGATCCCAACCCACTTCCGTCTGATTAAAAAAAATAATAAACATGCAGATACTTAAACCTGCGAGAAGAGGTTTTTGGAAATCGGGAGGCATCCCTTGCAGGCTGTGAAACTCAAGTTCTCGGGCACTGTTGAAAAGTTCATCAAGTCGGGATTTAAAAAAAAAAAAAGTTTCCCACAACCAAAGAGATGCATCCTAGTTTTTAGCTTGAAGAATCTGTAAAAGTCCTCGCCTTTCCCGGTTTGATTCCCTTACGCACTTGGGTTGAATCGTGTGACTTTCCTCCCCAACCATCAAAAGGCGATTTACTTCTCCCCTCCTCCCCTCTGCCCTCCCCGCTCCCCGGGCAAAAGCAGATCAAGGAACAAGGACCCCCCCCTCCTACCCACCCCCTCCTCCTCCCTCCTGCCCTCCTCCCGCCCCAAGCTGACAGCACCCGGGGAATCATACAGCCCAGCCAAGTTCCACCGGACTCCAGCCCCCTCCCACCCGCCAGCCCGGCCGGACGCGCGGGCCCCCGACGGTCCTCTACCTGGGGCGGGATGGCAGCAGCGACGGCTTCGGGGACGCAGCGCCCATGGCATCGAGGGGCTCGGGCGGTTGCGCGCGGGGAGGAGACGCGAACGGCTCGGTGCCCGGGACCCGGCGCGCTCGCAGCCTCAGCCCTGCGCGCGGTCATTGGGCCCGTGCGTCACGTGGCCCGGCCCGGGGCCCGACCTCCCCGGCACGCGTAACCCTTTACCTGCGCGTCCAGGATGCAGCTGCACCACGAAGTCGGCGCCCTCTCGGAGGGGTCCCCAACCCCCTTCCCTCCCCGCAACCACCCCCCCTCCCCGGCATGGCACCCATTTGTTTGTCCTCCCTGGAAAGTTTTGGTGCCGATAGTGTGGGAGTTCCCCTCGGATTGGGGGTTTCGGATATAGGCATCTCCTCCTGCAAAACAAATGGGGGCTCGCCGCTCTGGGTTCTGGCGTTGGTGGCTCAGACCTACGCGAGTCCTGCCCGATCGCCCGCGTTTATGGCTAGGTGTGCACGGGGCGCGGAGAGTGGATCCGCGGGGAGCGCGCACTCGCGCGTCCCAAAGGTCGCGGTGGGAACTCCGGCGCTCTCTCTCCCGGGTCTTTTCCTGGCCATCAGCCTGTGGCGTTCCCGTAGCGCTTGCAATTCGTTTGCCTAAGAGGGTGGAGAACGGGTTGCTTAACTCTAAATTCGATGTAAGGTTTGGACATTTTTTTAAAAAACACCTGAAGCGACTGGGGGGGGGGGGGCTCCATCAGGAAAAATAGGTTGAGCAACGGCGCCATCTAGCTCAACCCTCCTCTCTCTTCACTGTCCTGGGAGTTAGGTTAACCTAGACAGGGTATGTATTTACTCTCCCTAGCTTTTCGGTGCGAGCTAGTGGTTCTGGCTGCATGCACAGGCATTTATCACACTCTTGATGGTCCATACCTAGTCTAGTTATTCTGATTTTTTTAAAAGGCATTGAAATTTGTCTTGGGTCTTTAAAATGTGGTTCTCTAGCAGAATCAGTACCATTTATGGGGAGATTGAGGACTCAATGAAAAGAAATTCCCTTTGCTCTTTTTCCAAAAAGTAGCAGGAGAGGAATTGTGTGTGTGTGTGTGTGTGTGTGCTTGTGTGTGTGTGTATTGGGGCTTGGGATCAGAGTCTAACTTGCTTTCGATTGGCTTTTCCATTCAAGGCTGGTGCTCTACCACAAAAAACTACACCTCAGTTTTTGGCTTTTTGCCACTTAATCAGAGATAAAAGTCTCTCATGGACTTTTCTGGGCTGGCTGACTTTGAATGGAGATCCCCAGATCGCAGCCTGCTGACTAGGATTACAGGCGTGAGCCACCAGTACAAGAAGTGTGTGTGTGTGTGTGTGTGTGTGTGTATCACATAATACTCCATTTGAGAACCACTTCACTGCCCAGGAGAATTTCCTCCTGTGCTCAAGCACATGGCTCACTACCCTCATCTAATGCTTTCTGTAAAGCCAGAGGTGCTGTTTTTATTTACCACAAATGACCAATGCCACATAATTTGCCACACCAGCACACCAAAACTGGTTCTCTGTATCTAACATATTTTGTGCAGGCCACTTGGAATGTCAAATGAGATTTTATGGAAAATATAGAAGGGGGGAAAGCCCTATGGTTTCTTGATGTTGATAGTACCATGGTTCACTTTTTTTCCCCAGGTGAATTCATGTGTCCATTGGCATATCCATTGTTTCAAACTAATAAGGTTTAAAGCTCATTTGTTTGAGTGAGCCTGTCAGCATGGCTCCAGATTTTTCAAATAGTTCTTTAAAAAGAAGGCAATTTTTGGTCGGTACTCAGTATTAAGCCCAGGCTTTCTGTTGGGCAAGCATTCTGCTACCTGAGTTTTGACCCTAGCCATAAGAAAAAACAAAACTTTAAACAGTTTACATTTGTAACAAGAAAACTCCTTTGTCACAGGAAGCAAGGTGCCTGAGAAGAAAATATGGGTTGGGTTATTTATCTCAGATTTCTCCATGGGTAGACAACCTATTCTAATTGCTGAAACCAATGTTTTGCTTTAATGTTTCCTCACTTTCACTTCCTGTCCATTTTACATTTAAAACTCTGTATCTACCTAATTTCAGTTGGATGAAACTAGAATTATTTGCATTTTCCCTTTGAAAATCACTGTAAATTGCTCCTGATTTTAGCATTCTTTCTGCCACAGTCCACAGTGGAATTTTTACACTTTTTATCTTAGATCATATAGTAGTTCCTTCAGGTCTCCCAGTTTCTGGTCTTTCTACTCCAAATGCATCTGACAAACAAGCACTGAGCCATTCATGGCAACACTTCCTCAAAACCCTCTCTACTATTTCCTGTTGGCAACTTAATAAAGTCTAAAACGTAGCACAGTATTTGAAGTCATGCAAAATATACTTCAGCTCTATTTTTCCTCAGGAAACTTCCTTCATTTGAAATGCCTTTTTGACATTGACAGCTAACTCATTAATTTCAAACCTCAGCTGTCTCCTGAACAGGAGTTTATCATACTTTTTGATTTTCACATAGTTTATTGCTTCTCTGCCATTTTTTTGCACATCGAGGGTTTCTTTCCTTCCTTCCCTCCCTTTCTTTCTTTTCCTTTCTTTCTTCCTTTCTTTCTTTCTTTTTCTTTCTTCCCTTCCTTCCTTTCTTTCTTTCTTTTCTTTCTTTACTTCCTTTTTCTTTCTCTCCTTCCTTCCTTCCTTCCTTCCTTTCCTTATTTCTTTCTTTCTGTACCAAGGTTTGAACTCAAGGCCTTGAATTTGCATGGCTTGCTTTCTTAGCTGTGATTCTATCACATAAGCCATGCCTCCAGCCTGGACTTTTGCTGGTTATTTTTTGGAGCTAGAATCTAATGGACTTTTCTATTTGGGCTGGCTTTGAACTGACATCCTTTGGATTCCTCCTGTGTTACTAGGATTCTAGCTGGCCTTCACTTTTATTAATAATGTTTCATAGTCTTATATCTAGTTTAATTGTATAGCTTTTGGTTGTAACGTTTAGGGTAGTAATGCAAGACTAATTTTCAAATCATCCTAGGGCATAACATAATACATAGCAAGTATGCTGTATTTCTGGTATTCTTGACTGAACAAAAGTCCATGTGCATGAAATACTTTTATGTAAATATTGATGATTGACTCCAAATTTTGAGAATTGGAAGAAAAGATTATTTAACTTTGAATTGAATGATATACTTAGAAAAAAGAGATATAGCTTGGAATTCAAGAAGGAATTTTCCTGGCATAGTTAATCAACTGTTTTTAGTCGGGGTAAACTTTAAACAGAGGCTAGTATCAGCCATGCTTTGATGAGGGCAGTAGACGCAGTAGATAATGCTTATGGCTTATTTATTTATTGTTCTTGGTGGTACAAGGGATTAAAAACAGAGCCTTAAGATTGAGCTATACTCTCTTTTTTTCCAGATAGGCTCTCTCACTTTTGCCTTGAGACCTAGATTCATTTGGGCTGAGCCTGAGACCAAAATGCTCTTGCTTCCTTTTCTGCAGTGGCTGGGACTGTGGGTGTGGGCTACCATACCTACCTTGTTTTTGAGATAATATTCCACTAACTTTTGTCCAAGCTAATCTTGAATCACTATCCTCCTATCTCTGACTCATTTTCTTTAACCCTTTGATTTTTAAAGTCTCCTTGAGAATGATTTTTTTCTTCACAATTAGTAGTAAAATTTCTCCTCAATATTGGCTACTATTACTTAAACTCCTCAGTGCTATTTTTAAAATGTGTGTGTGTGTTGGAATTTTTAGACCCTAAGAGGTTAAAATCAGTGGGGGCCTACAGTGAGGAGGTCTTCCTGGGTCCCTGCTTTCAGGGACTTGGAAGGATTTATGAGTAGGATGAGTCCTTGTTCACTGTCCCCAAACCCCACCGTCCTCAGTCTCAGAAGGAAGCTCAATGCCTTTGCACTTGTACAGAGAACTTGTTTTCCTGTTGAAGCTGAAATCCTAGAAATCATTTTATTGACTTGTATATTCCTAGTAAAAATGCATATCCAGATAAATATTTGTTGAATGAATTCAGTAACTAAGTGTGTACCCGAAAAACCTGGGGGTTTGCAGCCACTTTCAGTTAGCTCTCATCTCCAAGGTAGAAAATAGATTAGAGGTCATTGTTGCCAAGTACTACCAAATTCTATATTGTAATGGACTTGGAAAAAGTTAAGAAGACATTGATGGTACACTGCCATCTTGTTCAGCTCTTTTCCCTGGCCCTCTATTTCTAGACATTGTCTTCTGGAAATAGACAACAATAATAGTGGCTAACAGGCCTGTGTGAAGACTGTAAGGCATAGTACCAGCAAAGCTCTGAGAATGGTGCCCAGTGCACTGGTTATAAGCACTTGGCAAGTATGAATAAATGCAGTTACTCAAGGTCTCTAATGAGTTCTGCTGAAGACAGGGGAGAAAAATCCAACAGCTCACAAATCCAAATGGTTTATCTTTTATTCATACAAATAATACATACACAAGACTGCATATTGTTTGAAGACTGAAATAATTTTCTAGTGTAACAACTCCGTAACAAAATTTAACTAAATGTAACATTTATGAAAATATAAATCTCTGATTAGGTAATTCTTCCCAACAATACAAAGTTTACATAAAAACATTCAATGTGAGCTATCAGTTGCAAACAAGTTAGGAAAAAAAATCATTCAAGTCACTTGTTATACTCTATTGGCTTTTACACAGAACATTCACACACTACATTTAATCCATCTAGGCATTTAAATCTCAGAAACATGGCATGGAGGTCCCACTGACAATGACAGGGGTAAGAATGGGTTACCTGAAGAGCTAAAAAGTATCGGTTCACACCATCTATTCCAGGGATCTCAGATTATGGGTCTGGGCTGGCAGCTACACCAAGAGGAACATATGGAAAAGTCTTTCACTAGGGAGAAGGGTGTTTATATCTGAATCACATCTTTCCATGCTTATATGCTTACTTCTTTCCAGAGCAAAAGACATTTGACTTAGATTCGCCATGGGTTAGATCCCTTTGTTATTTCTTGTAGAGGCAACCATCAAGATGGTACTGTAATGTTTGCTCACATTACATCCCAGCATCCTTTCCAGGTTCTTTTACTGTCCACAGAAACAATACATTGGTGAAATTATAGTTATGGGCTGGGGTACGTGATAAGTTCATGGCAGCGCTGGACAGTCTGTTCCTTGTTCATTATTCTTTCTAAAGTTATCGTCACCTTCAAGGGAAAGCACACCAAATCTCCACTGCTGGCCTCTCTGGAAAGTTATGCTATGTAGTAGGTACAGAAGGTTGAAAATCACCTTCCCCTTGAAGGTGTAATATTTCCTTTTAAATAGGTATGGTCATTTTAAAAAAAAAGAAAAGAATATTACAGATTCTGCTTTAAAATGGGCAAATCAGGCTCAGCAGGGCTCTCAGTCCCAGAGTGACACAGATGAAGCAGCAAGGTCAGAGGGGTTACAAACAGGGCCATTAAAGAGCCATTGGACACCCTTAACATTTGTAGTTTAGCACAAGGACAGGCATATTTAGTTTGTCCTCAAGTATTTGGTCATCTATCTGCTTTGTACACACACAAAAAGGAGGAGGAATGTGAGTAAGGCAATGTCACCAGTATTCTAGAGATGGCATGTTAAACAAGCTTGCTTTTTTTTTAAAAAAAAATTAAGATCTACTTCTGTGATTTAAGGAATCATTTAGGCTACTCTACATCTGACTGACTAATAGAGATTTTTGTCAGGGCAACAATAGAAATGAGCAGGTGTTTTGATTAAATATGTAATGCCCTTCCTGTCCTTCTTTACACTCAAGCACAAATATGCATTTCAAAAAAGATATGAAAAATTGTGGCTTGTTATTAAACGGATTCTTTTGCAACCCAGGAAAGAGTTTAAAAATCAAATATTCCATGATACAGAAACCCTTGCATGCAATTGTTGCAACTGTATTGTAAAGAAGACGGACTCTCCATGTTCAATAGCCCTATGGTTAGTAGGTAGTTCTGGCCCCAATCGGTTCACAGTCTCCTCTTTTGTGTTGTGTATCTCTTGGGAACTTAGGAATACATATGGGCATTTTGTTACATGATGTTTGCACCTTTAGACTTCTTACCTGTACACTAGGTTTACACAGTTGTCAGGATCAGAAAATGTAAAGAGAGATTAAGGCTGTGTTTTACATATCACATAATCATGTGGAGTTAAACAGCTCTCTGTCTTCATGATTTCAACTTGTTTTTGTAGTACTAATTCCAATCCAAATGGTCCACCTATAATTCTAGCCTCATTCACTGAACTGGTGCGAGAGTTTACATGTTGCTTTTTAGTATACGGCTTTTTCTCTCTCTTTCTAGATAAAATACTCATTGAAATGCCACTTCTAGAAAATTCTGTCATCCCTTCATTCCTGGACACAGTTTGATGAAAAGATGGCACCCCCGTCCAATCTCATATTTCTGTTCGTTGTGTGAACATGCCAAAAAAACACCAGAATTCCAAGATCTTTCCTGTCTTTTAAGAAAGGAGTAGTTGATAATTTGTGATACTCAGGATGCACTCAGCCTTTTCTTTTGTATGTGGATCGTGGATTTCCACCGAGCAGAACAAATGTTTTGTCAGTTATCAGTGGCATAGCTGTGGCTCCTGGATTCAAGGGCAGAGCACATCCGATCGTAACAGGAGTTATGTTTCTTGGAGGGTGTGGCTTCACTGGACTCCGATGAGTCACTCACTGTGATGGGGCTGTCTCTTGCAAACACCTCTGTGGATTCTCTCCATAAGCAATCCACAGACATTTTAAAGCAGTAGCTGTTAGTCTTTGGCCTGGATGTCTGTGTGGCATTGTTGAAGATCTGTCTGCTATTTGAAGTGGCAATTTTAATTTTTAGAGCAGCATCTACTCGGTCCACCACCGTATAGATCCCTATACTGCCATCATCGAAGCCCACAATGATGTTCAGGTGCCTCTGAGAAAGTGCAAGGAAAGTTGGTGTTTTATAGAGGGAACAAGCACCGATATTTTTGCCATCAGCCAGTCTCATTACAATTAAACTGGATATTGCATCGTTTTCCTCCTCCTCCTCCTCCCCATTCCGGAAACAAATGTATACCAGGTAACGCCCATCTCGAGATAACCTCTGTCTCCAGATGATCCCAGAGGCATGAACCACCCTTAATTTACCACTGTGTAAATCTAACACATTGATATTTTCATCTCCCCGAGACAGAATGCCTAGCTTGCCATTGGGAGAAATTTCAAAATCCTCCAGAGTTTTCAGGAAGTTGTTGGGAAGTTGCACGCGTCGACAGATGACTTCCTCTGTCAGACTCCAGATGTTCACGGTCTCTGCTGATGTGATAAACACAACGATGTCAGGACAATCAGGAATCAATTTGAAGTTCACAATGGTGGTCCCATCTTCACAGCAAAATTTCTTAGTGATACTTCCTGTCCAAAGACTGACAGCCAGCACTTTGCTCTTGGTCATTCCGACCACAAAGGTATTTGCAGAGGTGATAAAGGCATTTTGCAGAGTGGTGAGTATGTTGCACACCCTGTGGCCCGTGGCCAGTCTCCAAACCCTGGAGGCATTTTCCTCACAGAGTGAGACCACAAATTGGTCGTTGTGTGTAATCAGCAGCTGAGATATCCTCTGGCCATTAATTCGGAAGAGATTTTCTCCACTGCTGGTGTGCCACACATACTGGCTGCTTTTGTCATCTGAAGTTACCATTAGATCTCCAGTGGATGTTAACACACAGTGTTCAACTATTCCATCATGCTTAAAGACGGCTTCAATGAACCCGCTGCTGAAGTTCCATTTGTGAACACAGTCTGAGCCGTCTAGGGAGTAAATGATTTCCCCACGAGCAGGCAACACCAGACTCTGAATGGGTTTTCCAGTCTTATCTATGTTGGACATAGCTGTGATGATATCAACATCCCAGATGGAAAGAACACCACTGGTAGACAAAGACAACAGCATGTTGTGGTGACTAGATTTCACCAACTTGACGATGGTACCTGAGATTTCCTGTAAGCTGGCCATGCATTGTCCTGTGTCCCGCCTCCAAAAAAACATGGCTGAGGTATTCTCCATGGTTGCGATGATGCAGTCTCCATTTTTGGACAGCACGGCAGATATGAAACGCTCGTTGTGCTTGGCTCTGAACTTTTCAGCCACTTTCCACATGCCGGTGTCTACGAGCTCGATGCTGAGAGCTTTACAGATCAGAATGGCGCTCTGGTCTTCCGAAAGTTCAATGCTGACTACCTCGCTGTCTTCTCGACGGCAGTCAAAGTCATCCGTCAGCTGGGGGTTGGAGATATCCTCAGTATTCCAAACAGAAAGACTTCCCTCGCTATCTACCATGACCATCTCTTGAGCCGTGTCCAGAATGAGAAGAAACTTCACAAACCCACCAGAGAATTCTGATGTCACCGTACATAACTTCTCTCCACTCCCCAAGTGGAATATGGTGGTTGTGTTCAGGGACTGTCCACAGAAAGCATACACCCCATCCAGCGAACACTGGACACAGGTCACTTCATACCAGCAATGGAACTGGTAGAGAGGCCATCCATAGAGCAGATCAATGACAGTGACATCTTTGCTGGCTTCCAGCCATGCAAGGGCATGGTTGACGGACAGTGTAAATCCATTGATATAGGTGGTACCACTTCCATGCTTGGTCCCTTTGATTTCTACCTCAGACAAGAGACAGGAATTGAGGTTGTCATAAACCAGCAAGGTGTTATTTGTTGTGGCCACCACAAGGTACTTTTCATCACTGGTGAGTTTCATGCCCAGGATGACAGACTGGGATGTAGTGATCTGCCTGAGTAGCTGGCGACTTTCTACGTCCCACGTGCTGATGGAGCCATTTTCTAAGGCTGTGAGCACAGTGCTGGGGTTACAGGTTGGCAAAATCTCTGTGACATGCAGGTGACTGGATGACAAGGGCAGACGCTCAGGGCTGTAGGTTACATCCATGGATGAATGCAATGGCACAATGGAGCAATATTTGGGCCCATCTTTGTCACATTCTAAAAGAAGGTGGCGAAGTTTGGGCAAGGAACTTACAACAGGCAGCAGCCTTTGCTGAAGTTCTGCGGACAGGGAGCCAGGAAACGCAATGACCTTGTTTTTGATGCTACGGAGGATGCTGGCTAGGAACTTGAGCTCCTTTTCTTGTGAGTAGTTATAGGCCAGCTCAATGTCTGCAAGCACTTTGTCAAACTGGCCGATTTTGACCATGGTATAAAGCCAGCTGAAGTTCATGATGATTCCGTACAGTAGGTCATCGGTTTTTCCACACCTGGTCAAGTGATACAAAAGCTCAGACATTTTCCGGTGGTTGACAAAAAAGATGTCGGGCTCCAGTGGATTGCACTGGAAAACCCAGGGCTGATCAGGAGCCTGCCTGTCAAAGGAAGCCTGTTCCATGAAATGTTTTTCTTCCTCCAGCAGGCTTCTGCTCTCCAAGTCGAGGCAGCCATTCAAATAGGAATCTTCAAGGCAGAAAGCTTTTCTCCTACCCCCAGACCATACTCCCAGAAAATAATCTGCCAGAATGGTATGCATTTCTCTCAAATTGCCCTCATCCTGCAGATAGAGCTTTTGGGCGATGAGGTGCAGGTGTCTGTTGGCCCAGACCAGGAGTGTAACATTCTTCACGTGCCTTTCTATCAAGTATCCGCTGAGACCCTCCTTGAGCCTGGCAATGTACAGGTAAGGTACTCTCAAGGGATTGCTGGGCCTGGCATTCTCATTGAGCTCGTTCATAACATTATTGTCTAGTGCTAGCACATCTTCCAGTTCCATTTCACTTAATCCCATTTTGGCCATGGTGATGTAACCCAGAGCTCTGGACACCAATTTCTGACCACACTTTTTCTCTAAGCACCAGAATAAGTGCTCGATACTATCATGAACCGTGACACAGAGGGAAGATTCGTCAACATCTTTGTGAGATCTCCAATGCCTCACCTCCCTGAAGGTCAAATTCACAAACATGGGCAGCGTACACTTAGAGAATGCGTTGTTGACATAAATCTGCTGGCCAGAGGTGACCTTCCTTTTGACCCTCAGCAGTTGATGTTTGAGGACCTGGCTGCACATCTTCCTATCCCGGGGAATCAGCTCAATGTAGTTGTCTTCTTCGTGGATAAGGCACCTTAGTTTCTGCAGGATCCCATGTTTGTTGGGCAGTGTGGAGAGGATGATGCGGACGAAGCGGGGAAGGTGAGCGGGCAGCCACCAGAGCTTTCGGGCATCGTCATTCTCTGAGAGCTGTTCAAGGGCGTCAAATATGATCACCAGTGGTCTCTGCAGTGAAGACTCATTCAAAAGGTTTATAAATAAGTCCCGGAGGTCATGGATCTTCTTAGGATAGCTTTGAACCAGACATCGGTAGTTGACTGCCAGTTGTTCACAAACACTTAGCAGGAGAGTCCTAAGGTCGGTGCTCATGTCTGTGGTTCCTAGAAATCTCACGACGACAACTGGGTCAGATTCTGGTCCTGTGTCTTCATGAAGCCAGCCATAAGCCTAAAACATAAACCTGGACTTTAGAATGGGACTATGCATTTATGTAGTCATTCTCTGGGGCTCAAAGTCGAAAATACCTACCATGCATAACATATCCAACAACCCAAAAGTCCATAACCCTGCTGGAAAGGTCAAAAAGCGGCCACAAACCCCATGCACCAGAATCTACGGTGAGATCACCCTCTGCCCCCGTAGCAAAATAGTAGTAACAGATGACTGAATCACATTCTTCAAATTACAAGGTATTTCATAAACCTGTAAATCTACATAGCTGGTGTGGTCAGTTTTTCACCACCAAATCCCCATATCCTGGCACAGTTATCAGTACATATTAGGTGCTTAATGTTTAATGACTGAATTAAGTAATGATTTAAGCATTCCACAGTTAAATATTCTTATTCATGAAGAGTCTATAATACTATATATGGCTGACCAAATTTTAAATTAGAGTTCAATAAAAAATTCAATATTAATATTTTATTGAATGTAGTGTATTATTCATAGACACTTTTGTGTGCTATAGAAAAATAATAATTATACTTATTGTTCTCATCATAAAAACATAATATTGCTAAGAGATGTTAAATGTTGTGCTGTATAACAGACAGTTTGTATCTCACACAGTCATCTGTCATCAGGTCATCTCTCTGAAGGGTGGATGGAATCATAGTATCATTTAATAAAAGAGGAAACTGAGTTCCAATCTAAATAAATGGCTGGTCTGAGTTAAACAATCAGGAGACAAGGTTGGAGAAAAAATGTATCTGACTTTCTAAGTACCTTTTACTCCTTCCCTCTTTCCTTTCCTTCCTCCCTCACCCTCTCTCCTTTCCCTTCTTCTCACCTTCCTCTTACTCTTCTCTCTCTCTTTCTCTCTCTTCAACAGTGAAATTAAAGAAATAAAATATATAACAGATCTGCTTAGTTTAGTATTTTTCTTTGTGGAAAATCAAAGCTGAAAAGTAATATGGATAAAGTGTAAAACACTCCAAAGAGTATTTTTTAGGGAGATACAGCTTTTAGTAATCCTAGGAATTTATCAAGGAAAGTTATTCCTTTGAAGAGCAGGGGTTTTAGTTTTCCTCAAGAGATAGATTGGGTTAAGAAATAAATATAATGATTGGTTTGTGGCTATCAATTTCAGAGCCAGCAACTGAGGAATAGAAACATTTTGTTTTTTAGCCCCAGCCTTGGAAGTTGGCTTTCTAGAAAGGTAATCTTGCTATTCTACCATTGATGGCTTATCAGAAAGAATACTTCTTTGTTCCTGATGGCTGGTAACACTTCTATGCGTCCTCTTCCTGCCTGCCCATCACACCTGCTGCTGCAGGTGTGATGTGTTTGGACAGCCTTCACAGAAATGTTGAATAACAAAGGAGACAAACATGAGAGGTCATGTTTGCACGAGGGAGTGCAAGTTATTGTTAATGTTGGCCTAGTCATTCACTGGGAGAAAAGCAAATGGGAAGCAGGAAAAGGCCTAAAAACAAGAGAGGCTAAGAAGCCTGGATTTGGGATTAAATACAAGCCAGTGGGAAAAATAGGCGGGAGATCAGCATCTCAGACAATCATTCCTCAAGTGGATACGTTTTTCCCTGTGCACACTCTGTCCTCCAGAGACTATCTGTGCAGACAGTTCAGCCTAGCCCTACCATGCAATCCTTGACTTCTTGTGCTAGAGCACATGGCGGAAAATATATGACATGAATTTTCCACTGGTTCCTGGCTGGGACCAAAATTTGACTTATTACTTTTGACTGTACTTACAAATTACAAATAATTACAAAAATGACTAATTTGGTGACCAGGAGCAAGTAAAAGGCTATATTTTGTTTGAGAAGAGTTTTTGAGATTTAAGTTTTCATCTAAATGGGGTAAGGCCTGGACCCTTGCTTTCATTGTATTTGATGATGGTATAATTTGTGGGGGGAAGGGCAAAAACAAACCGTTTAAATAGGGATACAGGTGGACCCATTGCAACAATGAGATGTACAAGTCATTATGTTGAAAAACGAACTTTACAACTTAGGCCTGGTGGGGGTGAGGGGAGAGGGGAGGAGGGAGATGGGAAGGGATGGGAAGGGGAAACAGAGGAGGAGGCTACAATGCTTGATAAGAAATGTACTCATTATCTTGCCCATGTAATTGTAACCCCTCTGTACGGTATTTTCACAATAAAAAATTTAAAAAAGTAAATAAATAAAAGGGCTTTATAGTTGTACCCCCTCAATCTTTTCTCTCACTACAGCTGTTGAAGGGTTAAAAATTAGGAACCTCACTTCACCATTACCATTATTAACTTGCTAACTGCTGATTTTGCTTCTGTAAATATGCTTGCATTCAGACCCCCTTTTTCCTGGGAAATAAAATTGGGCAGTGACTCAAGGATATTGGCCGGCCCAGATGTCCGGATATCAGCCCACCCAGGACAAGGACAGCGGTTATAGATAGTATATGTTCTTCAGTTCCAGATTAATTAAGCCATCTGTGGGACAAACCTTAACAATGACCACCTGGCCAGACCATAAACAGGGTCAAATGTCAACCAATTATAGACCAACCATGAGCCAATTATAGTTTTTGCCTTTAAAAATGCTTGTAACCGCTGGTCGGGGCTCCCTGTCTGCTTGGGACAGAGAGCCCGTTTGCGCAAATGCCAAATAAATTCCTCTTGCTTATTGCATCTGCTGGTCTGGAGTCTTGGTTCCTGGGGCACCCTCCCGTTGAAGAAAGTGTCCCAGTGAGTCTAGGGTCTTTCACTGTTACGTAAGGAAAAGAAGAAACAACGGAAACATCCATTTCCAAATTCAGATAGTAAACATAGAAAGTGGAAATGTGACCAGTTCCCTCCCCCCACAGAACTTTTGTTACAAACATAGACGGGTAAATCAATCAATAAAAAATCAAATAATAAAAAAAGTAGTAAAATAGGCTTTTACCTTCTTTGCTACTTCAGCTAGCAGAAGGGTCTTCCCTGTGCATGGTCCACCGTATACAATAAGAGGGTTGATGTGTCCTGTTTTGCTCGGAAGAATGTATTTATGCAAGATGTTTAGAGATTCACATTTGTACTCATAGAAGGAGGCATACGTTTTACATAACGATGAATGTTGAAGGATTTCATCATACAGTGTATCTGTTTCAGTGTCAAAATTCTGTTGTACTGTTGCCTGAATTATGTCAATCATGTCCTCATAAAACTGCTTACCAAGTCCTTCTATGTAATGGTTTTCTATTTCCTGGGAATAGCCCAGTTTCATGTCGCAATGTGTGACGGATGTGTATACTCTCAGATTAGATGATGCCACGATGGTAGGAATAAATTCATCCCTGAGTTTTATCAGTTTCTCTTGAGCTTCAGGATCACGGATAATCCTGGGTTCCATTCCAGTAATATCCATGTATTTTCCCATCTCTGGGATTTTCACAAAGCGCTCAATGTTAGCGATTTTCCTAATGTAACAAACACACTTCTTCAGGAATGCTGGGGTTTGCTTGCCTAAAGCAAAGTCAAACTCATCCTCAATAGCTGGAAGATAATAAGACAAGGAGTTTATTGCTCAGAAAAAAGCAGTATGTCTACATTTCCAACATTCAGCTCTTAAGTCAATTCTACAGAATACTTTCATTTTCTTCCTCCTTCCTCTTTTCTCCTTCCTTCCTTCCTTCCTTCCTTCTTCCTTCATTCTCTCTCTCTCTCCCTCCACCCCACTCTCTCTCATTGCTTGTTTCTTTCTCTTCTGTGTCAATCCTAGGATTTGAACTCAGAGCCTGGGCACTGTCACTGAGCTTTTTGCTCAGCTAGTCTTCTACCACTTGAGCTACAGCTTCATTTCTAGTATTTTGGAGATAAGAATGTCATGGACTTTCCTGCTGGGGTTAGCTTTGAACTTCAAGTTTTAGATCTCAGCTACCTGAATTGCTAGGATTACAAATATAAGCCACCTATGTCTGCAAAATAACTTAATTCCTTCATTTCTTATCTTTTTCCTAAGCACCTTAAAACCCAGGATAATGATTTATTTTATTTTATTTTGGTGTGGGTACTCGGGCTTCAGCTCTAACTCTCCAGCTTTCTTGCTTATGACTGGCATTCCACCACTTGAGCCAAGCCTCTAATTTTGTTGGTTAATTGAAGATGAGAATCTCACTCATGGATTTTTCTGGTTGACTTCAAGCTGAGACTCTCAGATCTCAGCCTCCTGATTAGTTAGGATTATATGAACCACGCACACTAGGCAGCAGAGTTTTTAATCATATTATTTCATACCTAATGGAAAGGGGAAATGGAAGATTGACATAAGAAAGTAAGAATAGTAAGTTTATGTTGGTGTTTACAAGTTGCTGCTTAGTTTCCCTTTGAGAGTTCAGCTGTTCTGTGTGGAGAAACAGCAGGGACCAACTGAGGCCAGGAAAGACAGAGGATACTGAACAACATAGCTAGTTTACTCCTTCCTCTCCATTCAGTTCTTTACAACATGGTTTTGTCATTTGTTTGAAATACATTATACCTAGAGAGGCTCAAATACAATGCAACAGCACATTTTAAAGCAAAATAAATCATGTTCTGAATACTGATCGCAGAAAATTGCCATTTTCCATGCCACTGTTAAAATCTGTTGCGTTCATCAGAAAAGGCATAGAAAAAGATTTAGTATAGAGCTTTGTTTCTTGTAAATCAAGCCATATATAGCTTACAATCCATATGCTTACACATAAGTAAATATAAATGGTCATTTCAAGCCCCATAAAAGCACTTAAACCTGAATCAGTGGTATTAAAACATGACTCTACAGGAAAAAAATAAAGTTGATAAATCAATGAACATTTTAAGCCAATTTTATATAACAAGTCGCCTGCCTGGCTCACTTACCATCCCTTCGTCCCTTCCAATTTTCCTCCCTCCCTCCTTCCCTTCCCTCCCTCAGTGTCCTCCCTCCCTCCCTTCCTCATCCATCCTTTTCCTTTACCTAATTAGCCTTTGATGAGTTTAATGAGCACCTACTATGTGTGAGGCATGCTGCTAGTGATTTCGGATACAATAGTGAGAAAACAGAGACAATATGGAAAGAAAGCATCAGTATGGATTGCCATAGACTGCATATAATTTATATGCTGTAACCTCAACTCTAAATGCTAGTTTGGAAGGTGATCAGGTCATGAGAGTGGATCCTGCATGGATCAGATTAGTGCCTTTATAAAGAAGTCTCAGAGAACTCCCCTGTCTCTGTTTTTCTGCCGGGAAGTAGTGAGATAGTATCATCTCCAGTTAGATACAAATATTCAGGTGCCTTGACCTTAGACTAGCAAGCCTCCAGAGCTGTAAAACATTTTCTGTTGCTTTAAAGCTATCCAGTTCATGGCATTCTGTTACAGCTATCCAAGTGCACCATTTATGAAACTTTCAGGGGGGAAGGCAGATAGGGTCCTTGGTTTCTCACAATGACATGTGTTATGATTGCTTTGAGTTCTGCCATGGGGAAGAATGTGGTGAGTGAGAGTGGACAGTCAGACACGAAGCCACCTGGGGAGGGCAGGGAAGTTTTCCTATGGTGGAGACCAGGGGATCTAGGATGGACACCCTGGCTGGAACCCAATGGTATTGTTGTGGGGAGAGGGTTTTGAGTACACAGGGCTGGTATGATCAGAAAACAAACAAACAAACAAAACCCCCCACAAACAACAAAGCCTTCTATGTGCTAGCCAAAACTTCAGTGTCCAGTCAAGTCTAGAACTATACACATATGTTCTATAAAGTAACCAATTAAGGAGGGTGGAGTTCACTTTAAAGATGAACGGTTTTTGTTTTTTGTTTTTGTGGGTTGTGGGGCTTGAATTCAGGGCCTGGGCACTGTCTCTGAGCCTCTTTGTGCTCAAGGATAACACTCTACCACTTGAGCCACAGGGCCACTTCCAGATTTTGAGTGGTCAATTGGTGATAAGAGTCTCATGGGAACTTTTCTGCCAGGCTGGCTTCAAACCATGATCCTCAGATCTCAGCCTCCTGATTAGTTAGATGACAGGCGTGAGCTATCGGTGTCCAGCATTAAATAAGACTTTTAATGGAATTCTTGTAGTAGTGTATTTTCACACACACACACATGCACACAATTCCCCCCCTCCTCCAGCATTTGGTCATTTCTTTCCTAACCATCTGTGTACAACATTGGCAAGCACACTGGATCTCAGGCCGCTACATTCTGTGATGATTTGTAGGGAGGAAAAATGGCTGAATTAATCATAACAGTCCATAATGTATAGATAATATGGTATCTATACATAATCCTTTGTGATCAGATATGAATAGCCAATGGGCCAATGGTGATATTTATACATAAAGTGTGATAACCAGATGCCAGTGGTCATTTGGACTCCCAGATGATTCCATGGTAATCCTGCTCTGTCGCTAGCACATCTATGGAAAACAAGTCAATCAGGACTTTGGAACATCAAGAGACACAGAGAAACCAAGCTGGAGGAATCTATCTAAGCATGGCTGTACAGAGGTGCCTGGCATCATATAAATGAACCAGAATAAATGAAAGACAGGATTCAAAATAAACACAGGTGGGTTCTGTTTTGGAAGCAATGTGTCTCCACATTGGGGATGGGGGTTTTATTTATGATTGCTGCTGTTGTTTGGATCTGGAACTCCTCCCAAAGGTCCACGTGTTAAAGGTTGATTCTTCAGAGTAGCACTTGAGGAGGGCATGGAACCTTTAAGAGGTGGGCCCTTGTGGGAATTTTTAGGTCATTGGGAAGTGTCCTTGAGGGTGACCTTGGGGCACTGGTTGCTTTCTTTTACTTTCACTACCAGGCACAAGGTGAATGCATGGCTTTGCTACCGGCTCCCTTTATGATGTATTGCTATATCACAGTCCCAAAAGCACTAGGGTCAAGAGATTACAGATGGAATGGTGAGCCCAAAGCAACCTTTTCTTTTATTTAAAGATGAATTGTGAGCCAGGCACCAGTGGCTCGTGCCTGTAATCTTCACTTCTCAGGAGGCTGAGATCTGAGGATCACCGTTCAAAGCCAGCCTGGGCAGGAAAGTCCACGAGACTCTTATCTACAATTAACCACCAGAAAACTGGAAGTGGCGCTGTGGCTCAAGGGATAGAGTGCTCGAGTTCAAGCCCCATAACTGACCCCCACCCCAAAAAAAGAATTGTGAAACACATTACAACTGGTTTTTCCGCCAATGATTCTTTACTATTTACTTGCAAAATAAACGCTGTCACATAGCCGATGATGTTTACCCAGTAGTGTTTGTTCTCTGGAAATTACAATTCACACATTCTTCATATCTGTGGTTTCCTGGGTAACTTTGTCTTTTTTTTTTTTGGCAGTGCTGAAATTTGAATTCAGGGTCTCGCATGTGCTCTACCACTTGAGCCACACAAGAACTCTTGTTTTTGACTCTAGTTGTTTTTTAGATGTGGTCTTGGATCTTTAGCCAGAAGGCCATGATCTTCCTACCTTCAGCCTTCATTTGGCAAGGATCATGGCATAAACCACCACCCCAACTTACTGCTTGAGATGGGGGTTATTGTTGACTTTTTGTCTGTTTGAACCTTCCTCCTAAGGAGTGAAGATTACAGATTTGAGGCTACCACACAGTATCCTATAACACATGTAGTAATGAAGCTTCCTCTCTGTGGCTGAGAACGGCTGATTAAGCAAGTGTCTGCTCAGTAGTTGGGGAGATTTTAATTTTAGTGTTACATTAGATCCCACCCCTCCCCTACTCCACACTCTCCCGTAGCTTTCCATGCTACTTACAATGGAACAAGGAAACACATTCCATGGCCTGTGTTGCTCCCCTCGGATGTCAGCTCTCCCTCCTAACCTGGCTTTCTTGACTTTCTTCCTGTTCTTTTTCTTTGCTAGGCACATTCCCATCTCATGCGTCTTGGATCTGTTGGTCTCTCTGATATAGTACTGTCAGCTCTGACTCCTTCCACGTTTCAGCTTAAAAACCGCTTTTGTCCACTCTGGACGCCAGCATCCTTTATCAATCACTACTGTGCTCATACAGAACTCAGTGTTTCCAGGGCCTCAGGTGTGGTATTCGTATGATCATTTCTAAAATGATCTTGTTCACTTATTACTTGACCATCAGTTACTTCCTCACTCTGAAAAAATAATTTCCAGAGAACAGAGACCTTATCTTTTTTTTTTTTTTAAGTTCATCGACAGCTCCCTAATACTTGGCACCAAATAAGCCAAGAGGTCCATACACTTCACGCAGGGATGGATAAGTGAACGGACAGCGCAGCTGAAAAACAGTGATAGGATCTGGGCTATTAGATTTCACTGACAACTTCTGCTCAAATCACATTTTCTGGAGAAGCCCTCGAGCCAAGTAAAAGCTTTTCCTGTGAGTTAAAGCAAAAGAACACTCACCCCTCTTGGACCTGGCAAGATTTAGAAAAATTAAATCTGCCAGGCTGTAAGTTAGATGACGTCATTTTATCTAGCCCTTTGTTGGCTGAGGACACAGGCAAATTACCTGAGAACAGGTACCTCTTAGCTTGGCTGTGCTTCATCTTGCCCTTCTCGTGTAGCAGTTTGACGGCAGCCTTAAATATCGCCTTGATCTCATCCGATATCTCCTGCCATGGCTTTTCGTCTTCAGCACTGGCAGGAGGCTGTGTCTGTGAAAGGAAAAAAAGTCAGTCTTAGGTCATCACAGAAGCACTAGAATGTAAGTGCAAGAGAATTCCACTTACTTACAGTATGAGAGGCATGTTACAGCATCTTGTTTTAATCTCTTTCTCACCAGGAACCCTCCATGTTCAGTGTGAACAAGTATGCAAAGATATACTCCAGACAGGGCTGGTTGCTGGGATTTGCTTTGGTTTGTGGAGGGTTTGAGTATGTTCCCCCCAAATTTCATGTGTTAGAAACTCTGTCCAGAATGCAGCGGTGTTCAGATGTGATGGAGGCCTTTAAGAGGGAGGACCTAGGGAAGGTGAGTCTATCACGGGAGCAACATCCTCAGAAGGGATTAATGTAGTTCTCCTGTGTCCGGGTTAGCTCCCAAGAGATTGTATTGCTGTAAAAAGAGCAACGAGGCCTGAATCACTCTGGCTTCCTGCCTTACCATGTGATCTCTTTTGCATGAGTCAAGAGGGCCCTGTTCAGAGTTTGAACAGGTGGAGCTGCCTGATCTCCAAAAGTAGGATTTACATAAACATCTTTCCTCAGATCTTATCTAGGATCAGCTATTTTGTTATAGCAATAGAAATAGAGTAATTTTTAAATTTTTTTTTACCATGTTTATCCCTTTTGAGTTTTGATAGAAATGTCACAACAAAATAATCGGTTAAAAATGTCCTCCCAAGGGGAACCTTAAATGGGTGTGGGGTTTACATCTTATCACTTGCTTTTAGTCATTCTGTTTTGTGGGTCTACTAGGAGAGTAGATTGTCTAACAAGAAAGAAACGTTTAGGAAGTCTTGACGATAATCTTGCCATCCATTCATTTACTCAACAACTTATGCATGATAGCATGTGGAGCTTTGGGAAAAAATGTACATTTCCCTTCAGGATCACAGAACTAAGTGAATATGGGACATGTAAAGACTTCTGAATAGTAACCTATGAGCATGAACTCCTGAGCCACTGTGTAAATCAGATTAGTATTATTTCTGCCAGTCCTGGGGCTTGAACTCAGGGCGTGGGCAGTGACCCTGAACTTCTTTTGTTCAAGCTAGCACTCTACCACTTGAGCCACAGCTTCCCTTCTGGCTTTTTCTGTGGAATAGAACCCAGGGCTTCAGGCATGCTAGGCGAACACTCTACCACTGAGCCACCTTCCCAGCCTGCTTATTGAGGTTTTTCATTCTCTACTATCTACATTTACTCTTAGCACATTTAACTGGCGAATGGCTTCTTATGCAGAGAAGCACTATCAGTGCAGTTATTTTGCATGATGCATGTGAGGAGAAAGATGTAAAACCAAGGATTGTGACATAGCTTCATATTGCATGAAGAAAATACGGAGCTGAATATCAGAAAGACAAACATTCAGCATCTTAAAATGAAGATGTGTGGCCATGCTACGGTTCACATCCCTTTGAAGCGGCCTCCATGCTGACTGGAGCAAGGATCTCTCTTTTGTAAGAGGACTGGATATCTGTCTTCTTTCCAATCCATCTTACTCTATGCACAAATAGCCCTGCCTTTCCCTTTTCCCCCTTCATTGGGTCCAGTAGTAGACATGCTTTGGGAATGAAGTGAGAGAGAAGATAATAATACCGTCTCTTTCAGACTCAGATATAAATCAGTCTCACTTGGTGAGTTTACCTAGGGGCATATATATATATATACATACATATATATATATATATATATATATATATATATATATATATATATATACACACACAAAGTGAATACTAAGAGAAAGAATGCATGTCTTTTCTTATATGTGGAAGCTAGGTTTAGTTTATAAACTCATAAGCAAATATGTTGGGTGCTATGCAAATATATACATATATTAAATATATATATGAATGTGTAATTCCTAATTAATTGGTAATTCCTATTAATTTGTATTAATGTGTAGCTCCTAATTCCAAGGTTCAGCAAAATCAAACCGCAGGAAAGAGGTGTGGTGGGGTCAGGAAGGAAAGGGTGGACAAATAAAGAGGAGAAGAGGAAGAGAACGCAGTCAAGAATACAGTATATAGCCTATATATAGATATATCATACATATCCAATGTATATCCAATGCACATCTAATATATATCCTACAAACTCAAGAGTTAGGGAAAGGATGGGTAAGGGAGAGAATGTTGGTAAGGGTAAGAATGTTGGAAGGGGTGATATTAAGTTATATTGTATTCATAAATGGCTTTGTTAAAATGGTAACTTCTTTGTACAACTACTCAAAGATATTCAAAAAAGAAAACAACCATTAAAAAAGAACAGGAGGATAATGAAACAACCACTTGCCAATAGAAAGCAACCAATCTCACAATATTCTTTGTTTGTAAGCAAATAAAAATATATTACTGTTGCAATAGATACTGAATATATGGGGGGGCACAGCTGAAGAAAAAAAATCAGTGAAGCTGGGTCCTGGTGGCTCACGCCTGTAATCCTAGATACTAACGAGGCTGAGATCTGAGGGTCGTGGTTTGAAGCCAGCCCAGGCTGCAAAGTCTGTGAAACTCTTATCTCCAAAACACTACTCAGAAAAAGACAGAGTGGCACTGTGGCTCAAGTGGTAGAGCGCCGACCTGAGCACAAACAGGCTCAGGGACAGCACCGAGGCGTTGAGTTCAGACCTCAGGAATGTGGGGAAGATGAGTGAACTGGAATAAAGCTCTGAAGTAGTCTCCTCAACTGCAGCAGAGAGAGAAAGGAAATTGATAATGTGAGAGCAAGTGTAGGGACATGGAGAGTAGACTGAGAAGATATAATGTATATCTGATTAAGACGCAAGAAGGAACAGAAATTTTGAACACTACCAGGATATATGAACATATGAATTTATGGATACATATGATTAAATGAGAACATCTTCAATAAAGACTGAGTTTTTCATTGGTAGACTATTACTCAAAGATACATTTCAGAAAAAATGGAAAATGACCTTACAAAGGAAGTCAGAGATGCTACAAGGCAAGATGAACCTTAAATGTAAAATATTCCTAGTTTTGGATTTAGTCCTCCTCCTCCTTCTTGTCCCCTAATTCCTCCTCCTCCTCCTCCTCTTCTTCTTCCTTCTTCTCCTTCTCCTTCTTTTCTTCCTCCTCCCCCTCTTCCTTTTTTTTTTTTAGAAATAACTTTAAGGTGCATAACACCATGTTGTAAAATGATGATTGCAATTAAGTGAACTAACGCATCCTTCGTGTCACAATTACCACTTTGAGATCCAGTAATCAAATTTCAAGTGTATGTGATACATTATCATTAAATACCTTATACTAACCAGAATTAATGACTGAAAGTTTGTGCCCTTTTACTAACATTTCCTCATCCCTTCATACTTCAGTCCCTAGTACTTTAAACACCTTCTAATCAGTTATCCTGAGTTCAAATGCTTTAGATACTATATTATCTATCAGTGAGATCAATACTGTTTGTCTTTCTGGGTTATTTTATATAAAATCTGCTCCAGGTTCATCAATGCTGCTGCTAATAGTAAGATGTTTTCTTTTTAAAGACTGAATAATATTCGTGTGTGTGTGTGTGTGTGTGTGTGTGTGTGTGTGTGTATCTATTTGTCTGTTGAATGGTAGGTTGCTTCCATATCTTGAGTTTCATGAGTAATGCTGTGATGGAGCTTGGTATGAAGATGTCCTTTCCAAATAATGGTCTCATTCCTGTGAATACAGACCCAGCAGTGGGATTGCTGCATCCTAAAACTACATATGTAGTTTTACTATTTTTACTATTTTGAGGCGTTGCTCTACTGGTTTCCATAGCAACTGTGTAGTTCCACCCACAAGGTACCAAGGTTTCCCTTTCTTTATCTCCCCCAACATTCCCCTTCTGATTTTCAGATAATCAGCCCTTGGGGTTATGATTTACATTTCTTTGATGATTAGTGTTAATTTAGTTGTTAAAAGGAAACTTAGGGTTTAGGGCAGATTCTACTTTGTGCCTTTTCCACGGAGGAGAAAAACAGCCCTGAATGGCAATCTATCTAAAAATTCAGAGTCCAGGGGAGAAGCAGAGCTTACTGTATTTGTAGTGTTCCTTAGCAGCTCTGATCGGGGTCTGAGGTAATAGGCTGCTGGCACTGAGTTCTCATCCCGACAGTACCACTCTTCCAGTAACTTGGTCTCCAGCTTTGCCTCTATGGCAGCATCCAAAATCATTTCAAACTCTGAGGCTTCAACTTCTCCTGGGATTCGGATGTTCCCATATTTTTCACCTAATAGTCCCTGTGTATCAACAAGAAAATTCGGTTTAGTGTATCACCAAGAAAGGTCATCTTGGAACTCACAGGACAGAAAGTCACTCAACAAATGTTAGCAAATAGATGACAAGACACATTGCCTGGTGAGTTTTCTCTTATAATCACAGTACATTCTTGATTTAATAAGCAAAATTAGATCAATTATAATTGTAACAAATTGTTCAACTTACTGAGAAATTAGATTGTAGTCGGGCTCAGACTCATGCAGAATGCAGAATTTCTGTAGCAAAGCTGCTATCTCGAAGTTTATGTAAGAAAACAAAAGCTGTTCTGCTCTGAGATTTACTTATGACAAAAAAATTGGCTTGGAAAAAATTATATTAAGTGAAGTAAGCCAGGCCCAAAGAAACATAGGTCCCATGGTTTCCCATATTTGCAATATCTAGAATATGTCTGAGTCAAGCAGAAAAGGTCAGATAAGGTGATGTTAGGGAAATGAACCCTAAGATATGTATTCAAAGTTTTTTTTTTTTTCTAACACATTTATAAGATTATTTCTTTGTTGCTTTGTATGTCCCTCCCCCACAGTATAACCCCTGCTTTCACTTATTTGATGTTGGTATAATTTGTGGAGGGGAAGGGGAAAAACAAATCATTTAAATAGGGATACAGGTGGACCCATTGCAACAATGAGAAGTACAAGTTGTCATGTCGAAAACGAACTTTACAACTTTGGTGGGGGAGGTTTGGGTGGCGCGGTGGGGGGAGGATGGGAAGGGATGGGAAGGGGAAACAAAGGAGGAGGCTACAATGCTTGATAAGAAATGTACTCATTATCTTGCCCATGTAATTGTAACCCCTCTGTACAGTATTTTCCCAATAAAAAAAATAAAAAAAAATAAAATCGGAAAAAAATTTGACAGGCTGAACCTTACAAAATGTCATGTACATAATGCTTTCAAACAAAAGAACAAGAATTGGTGGTGGTATTCTATAGATTCTATAGAGTCATATGACTACAAAGAAGGAAGTATGATATCATGGGAGGTGAGACTTCTGGCAACTGAAGAAAAAACTCGAAGTGTAAATGAGATAGCATTTTCTTTCATTAAAGTGAAAAAAACCTCCTCAAATACATCACTAAAGCAAACAAACAAAAGCCATGCACTCAGATGTGTGAAAATAGCAATACAGTGGTAACAAGCATGTAAGATGATCCAATATTTCTCTGTATAGTGTTCTGGCTATATGTTTTAAAGGCCATGTAAATCTATTTAACTTTTGACTTGACTTTTTTTTTCTGGGAACTTGTATTTAGAAAAGAACTAAATATGCACACAAAGACTTAAAAGAATATGTATGCTGCATCTGTTTCATTAAACAGGAAAAAGTTAGTAGGACATCTTTTTTGGCCAGTCCTGGGGCTTGAACTCAGGGCCTGGGCACTGTCCTTGAGCTTCTTTAGTTCAAGGCTAGTGCTCTACTACTTGAGCCATAGTGCCACTTCTGGCTCTTTCTGTGTATGTGGTACTGAGGAATTGAACCCAGGGCTTCATGCATGCTAGGCAGGCACTCTACCACTGAGCCACATTTCCAGCCCTGCTAGGACATCTTAAATGACGAAGAAAGAGAAATTTTCCTTCTTTCCTTCCCTCCCTCCCTCCCTCCTTTCTTTCCTTCCTTCCTTCCTTCCTTCCATTTCTTTCTCTCCTTCTTCCTCTCCTTTCTCTCCTTCCTTCCTTCCTTCCTTTCTTTCTCAATTTCTTTCTTTCTCAATTTCTTTCTTTCTTTCTCAATTTCTTTCTCTCTCCCTCTCTCTTCTTTCTTCCTTCTCTTTCTTTCTTCCCTTTTTTATTGTGAAAATACTGTACAGAGGGGTTACAATTACATGGGCAAGATAATGAGTACATTTCTTATCAAGCATTGTTGCCTCCTCCTTTGTTCCCCGCCTTCCCCGGCCTACCCCGCCCTCCAAAGTTGTAAAGTTCATTTTTTAACGTAAGAACTTGTTGCACATCTCATTGTTGCAATGAGTCCACCTGTAACTTTTCTTTCTCCAGGTCCTAAGGCCTGGGTGGGTGGGTGGGGCAGGATATGGGAAGGAAAAGGAAGGGGAAACAAAGGAGGAAGCAACAATGCTTGATAAGAAATGTACTCATTATCTTGCCCATGTAATTGTAACTCCTCTGTATGGTATTTTCATAATAAAAAATTTAAAAAAGGCCTGAACTCAGGGCCTGGATGCTGTCCCTGAACTTTGTCACTCAAGGCGAATATGCTACTACTTTGAACCACAATGCTACTTCTGGGTTTCTGGGGGTTAATTGGAGATAAAGAGTCTCATAGATTTTTCTGCATGGATTAGTTTTGAACTGTGATCCTCAGATATCAGCCTCCTGAATATCTAGGATTACAAGCATGAGCCACCAGCATCTGGTAGAAAAATGTCTATAAAGTATTATTAAATGAGAAGTATATCAGATGATTCCAAAATCAATTAATCCATCAATCAATCTATAAATAATGTTACATGTACATGAAAGAGAAAAGGGATAATATACATACACACATATAATATTTGTAAAAGAAATACATCAAGGTTATAATGGTTATCTTTGAGTGGGTTTACCTAGGTTGTTTTGTGAATTTCCTGCTTTTTAATATTTTTTGCAGCATAATATATTATTCTATAATGAAAAACTCAGAAGTTATTTGATACATTTACACATAGCAATTCAACACTTTCAAGTTTGCTCCACATGTTTGCTTAATCCAGTGGATCTCAAAATATGTTCCTGGGACCAACTACATTGTAATACTTGATTGTTAGAAGTGCACATCATCAGGTTCCATCCCAGCCATGTCTTCTAGAACTGCAACTGTGGTTATGGAGCTGTAGGCAATGGAACTTTGGACTCAGTTGTGTGTGTGTGTGTGTGTGTGTGTGTGTGCGCGCGCTCACGCGCGCACATGCACGTGCTATCCTTGGGGCTCAGGACTGGACTCTGTCCCAGAGTTTCCTTTGCTCCAGGCTAGTCTCTACCACTTGAGCCACAGTTCCACTTCCAGCTTTTGTTGTAGTTTATTGGAGATAAGAGTCTCACAGATTTTCCAGCCAGGGCTGTCTTTGAATAGGCTCAGCTCTCAGCCTCCTGAGGAGCTAGGTTTACAGGCCACCAGCACACCCAGCTTTTCTCACTCATTTTTGTTAGCTTGTATAATGTACAGAATATCAAATTCATCTCCAACATCCTGTCTAGTAGAAACGAGGGAACACACAGAAACTCTTACACAAGTCTGTGCCATCCATGGCAATCTGAGAGGCTTTCTGTTTCACTGGTGGATATTTTCATTCTTGCTTCCTGCTGACTTGCAGCGTTTGTTTTAAATTAATTTACTTTATTGTTATTATAGAGGTGATGTACAGAGGGATTACAATCTCATGAGTGAGGTAATGAGTACATTTCCTTTCCTGCAGTGTCATCTGTTCCCTCCCTCTCTCCCCGTCCTACCCTCCCTCCACCCATGAGTTGTATAGTTCACTTCCATCATTGTTCAGTGAGCTTCACTGCTGCACTTCTTCACCCTTGTACCCTCAAGTTCTGTATCCTCCACCAACCCTTCCAAAGATGTACACTTGAATATGCCATACATAAAGTAAAGAAGACAGAATCATAAAAAACTGAAAACTGAAAAAAATGAGAGGAAAAAGCCAGAGGTCTCTTGTTCCATATCGTGGAGTTGTTTTCAGTATGTATATTATTTTATATAAATATGAAGAGGCACGTAGGCATTCCATTTTGTGTTTCTCTCTTAAGAGGATCCTCTTTTGGTCTCACTGGGTGTGAGTAACTAGAATCCTGTATAATTTATCATATCCCAGTGCAGTTAGATCTAATTTCTGCATATCAGAGAGAACATACAGCTTTAACATAAACTAATATTATAGTTGATGATATCCAGAGTGACGTGAATTGCTAGTTTTGTCATAGTATATTCTTGTGTGTGCATGTGTGTGTGGCAGTAATGGGGTTTGAACTTGGTACTTTTTGCTTGTTATATAGGTGTGTTACCATCTGAGCCTCATCCTCAGACTTCATTTAGCAGGAACTATATAAACATCTAGTTGAGCCAGGCATCAGTGGCTCATGCCAGTAATCCTAGCTACTGGGAGGCTGAGATCTGAGGATCATGGTTCAAAGCCAGCCCAGGCAGGAAAGGCTGTGAAACTCTTATTTCCAATTAAACACCAGAAAACAAGAAGTGCCACTATGGCTTGAACGAAGAGCTGGACAGTGCCCAGGCCCAGAGTTCAAGTCCCACGACTGACAAAAATGAAAACAAAACAAAAAATCAAAACGTCTAGTTGGATTACAATCTATCTCTTCTAATTGACCCACAGTAGAAGGTGACTGTAGTGAACTGAACCCAGGTTTTAAGCTCTCCTATACCAGTCTCAAAAACTGGACGGGAAGTAGATACAACCTGTCTGTTCTTTTTGGCCACATATATCCCTCTGGAAGAGGTGAGAATGGCAGGCCTTCACTTTGTTGGTATTTAGAAGGTATGAGGGTGGGGTTTATAGAGAGTACTTTTGAGCTAGCACTATCCTTATCTTAACTTACTATATTAGCTTGCAGGTCAATTAAAACACTTTTATTTTAGTCTACATTGCTTTGGGGGTCATATTTGATAAGAGGTCGAATGCAATAAAAATGACATATTTTACATTATTTCTCAATTTTCAAGGATTCCAAAAAGTCTCTCCAGTGCTGTACCATCAAGTTTATCTATCCTCTTATCTACTGCAGACACAGGAAGAAATGGTCCCTTTTAGGCCTACCATCTGGAGATAATCTTGTGCTCCTAATCTAATTCTGCATGAGGAGGATCAGAACTCATAGTCAGGGCTATTGGTCATGAGGAGTATAGTTTATGCAGTGGGATGAGCCATTCAGAAAAACCCACTGTGGGCAATGGGTACCAGGAAAGTCCAAACAAGCATCTAAGGGGAATTTGGTTCTC